AATAGTGCATCAGCAGCACAAATATTGAAATCACAAAACTTTGGTTCAGTTCAACCGAATCAAGTTCCTTTTAATATCGATTTTAGGGGTAGGACAGTTCCATATTAGTTCCGTTCTTAGGAACTGTATTAACAGTTCTTTTGAATAGAACTGAACTGAACCAACAGTTCTTTGAATAGAACTGAACTTTACTAACAGTTCTTTGAAAGGAACTGAACTGTATTAACAGTTCTTTGAAAGGAACTGAACTGTATTAACAGTTCTTTGAAAGGAACTGAACTGAACCAACAGTTCTTTGAATAGAACTGAACTGAATCAACAGTTCTTTGAATAGAACTGAACTGTACCAACAAGTTCAGTTCCTTTCAAAGAACTGTTATTTCAGTTCAGTTCTTTTCAGAGAACTGTTGTGAAAACTATTTTTTTGGAAATAAAAACAAATTTGAAACAAAACAGTTCTCTGAAAAGAACTGTTGAAACCGACCAGTTCCTCTGAAAAAACTGTTGATACAGTTCAGTTCCTTTCAAAGAACTGTTTGGTAAAGTTTAGTTCTATTCAAAGAACTGTTAGTTCAGTTCAGTTCTATTCAAAGAACTGCTGATTCAGTTCAGTTCCTATCAGAAGAACTGAACTGGTAGTTCTTTTGACCAGTTCATCCGAACTTGGAACTATGAACTGTCCTACCCCTAATCGATTTCACAAACACTAAAAATGCAAAACTTCAATCAATAAGTGTTTATTATGATAGATATGTTCATGGTTTGGAATTCATATATACAGATAATACTGTAAATTCTGTTGGATACAAATTAGGAACTAAAAGCACAGTTCGCTTAGTAAACAAAGAGATAAGTATTTTTAGAGTAAAATCCGGTGCTTGGATCGATGCAATACAATTTTGTTTTTCAGCAACTGATTGTGCACAACATTTTGGTAGTATTGGAGGTGGTGACATCGTTGAATTCAATTTAAATAATTTAATAAACCAAAATTATAAAATTGTTGCATTGAGTGGAGCATATATTGAGAAATATACTGCAGATTGGACTGTTAATACTTTAAATATATTAAGTGTGTCGTACCAGTTGATCGATTCTACACCAAACTATTGCAAAATTTCGTTGACAAATATGAAAGATAATGAAATATTCAATCATAAAACTGTAATATTTAATGGCGAGATCATTACTAATGATGGGCAGAACACAATACGTAACATTCATGTGAATAATGCAAACTCAGTGAATTATGCAAATAAAATCGATACTCAATGGCCTGTCAACATCTTTAATCAATTCAAAGGTTTAATAAAGCTTGAAAGAGGAACTAACAAAATCACCATCACTTACGATGTACTACATTTTTATATTTTTCCTTTTAGTATATTCATTATTAATTTTTTTTTTCAAGGAACCTTTAAACCAAGGAGCGAAATGTAGTTTGACAATAAATTTAGTCTACGAAGAGGACTTGCCAGTTGAACCGGTACATTTGGTTATGGTTGTTGCAAAGGACAGTAAATTAGTTTATGATGCTGAACCAGGTGAAGTAAATAATTTAGAATCAGCTAAATGGAAGTATCGAACAATGGCATGGCTTTGGCAATCGTTTACAGATGATCAAATTTATAAGAGAAATAGTAATTCTGGTCATCGCTGTTTTAGATTGGACGAAACTGAACTTATAAATGGAGAATATTGTAAGCAATCTAATCGTTTCTATTCAGAAATGGTTGTAGAATATAAATTTATTTTCTTTTAGATCCAAAAATCCATGTATTACAAACCGATATGACTACAGCACAAATTCAAGCCAAGGAATCAAATATATTTGACATGTGTAAAGCAGTTGTTCTAAACAATCCAACAAAGTTTATTAAGCCACAAAATTTACCATTACAGTTTACATGCTTGTTCCTTGATTCACATTACATACCAAATGAAGACAGAATTGTTGGTCACGCTGCTTTAGGCTCGGGTTGGAATAGTGATTATAATTGGGGTATATTTGGATCACACTTGCTTTACTCTCACCCGCAAAATTTAACAGAAATGAAGAATAAATTCAATGATATACGTCCCGTCAACAAAAAATATACTTCAAACGACGGAGGTGATTATAGAGCAAGAGTATGCAATGTAGGAATTGGAGCATTTTTACACGAACTTGGTCATTCATTTGGTTTAAGTAAGCAGAATAATTTTACTTTTATTTATTACATAACATTAACATAATCTTTGTTAGATCACAATTATGGTGTTATGCAAAGAGGATTTGACAATTTTAATCGTGCCTTTTATTCAGTTGAACTATCAACAAGTAAAATAATCGTTTTTTTAAATATTTTTCTCGGTTAATTGATTTACTATCATTGTAGATAATGTATGGACCTCGGTTATAACAAATGTTGATGATCAATATGCAAGTTGGAGTAAAGTAGATGCAGAAATAATGTTACCACATCATTTATTTCGATTAAAAAATGATCCAATCATTGATATGGTGGATAAAAATATACAATTATTTACAACATCTTCAAATAGTTTTCTTCTTTATGCAAATGTAGGTATTAGGATGCTTGCATTTTATAGCAACGATGACGGAAAATATCCACAATATTTGACGTATGAACCAGCATTAAAAACGATTGATGTTGACATGAGTACAAGCATGGAGTTAATGAACTACAAGATCAATAACAAGGAAATAAATTTGCTAGTGATTCTCAAAAATGGTAGAATGGTAGAATTCGGAAAAATATTTAGTGAAGTAAATAATGGACTTATTACAGCTGATTTATTTAAAACAAAAAGATTCGACCCAGTCTATGAGAATCAAGTTGAATTTAATGTTGATTTCACCTTAAATAATAACGCCAGACTTCTAACAATAGGTGTTTATTATGATAATTACGTTCATGGTTTGGAATTTACCTATACAGACAATACTGTTCGCTTTTTTGGATATAAAACTGGAAATAAAGGTTCATTCAGTTTAGTCAATAAGGAACTAACAGTTGTAAGAGTACAGTCTGGCGCTTGGATTGATGCATTACAATTCTGCTTTTCAGTAACTGACTGTACACAACAATTTGGTGGTACGATAAACGGTCAATGGTCAGCTGAATTTAATTTAAATATTATAGGCAACTCACAGTTTTATAAGGTGTCGGGATTAAATGGAGCATTCATTGAGAAATATAATCCAAATTGGACTGTTAATACAATGAGTTCAATTACAGTATTATACAAGAAAGTCTGAAAAAGATTCATTAAGACTTTTAAAATAATATAAAATATAGTTGAATTTCTTGTAATTTATATTGTCAACATTAAATTCTACTATTTTTCGCATATTATTTTATTAATAAAGGTTTTATTAAATAGATAAAACTAACTATTAAAAAAAATATATTTTGAAACTTCATCGATTTTCTCTTGGTCGTAAGGACGAGACTCAAGTAAGAGAAAAAGTAATTTTACGGAACTTTTTTTCGAACAACATGGACTATTTGTATTGGCAAAATTCAAATTACCAAAGTCGAAGTTAAGTTAGTTTGATAAAACTTGCGACAGCATCTTATTCATGTTTTATCCACATAAATGTTAAATTGCTTTTATAGAGCTTTTATTGTGTCCATAAAAAAAATCTACCGTTTTTTGGCCATTATAGAGCTACAGTGAAGTGCAAAAATAATTACTGATAGACTTTTCAAAGTCCTACTCAGACAAGTATCAGATACTATGATTTTTTAATATTGTTATACTACCCGGATACTGTACTATACAAATATATTAATCATTAAAACTTTCGCATTCTCTATGAGTTTAAGTAAATGAAATTCGTGACTATACTATCTTCATTATCTCGTATCTAAATAAGAGAAAATAATTTTCTTTCTTACGATTTAGTGGAAAATTCATATGCTTTTTGAGTTATTTCCATTGATACTAAAAATAATCGAAAGAATTGTAATAAATTACTTGATTGTTTTATTTACTTAATAATGTTTAAGAAGTTCGAGTTATAATCATATATGGTTGATAAATATGCGACAATTAGATGTTTTTTTATCGTTAAGATTAAAAAAAAATGTATAATGCAACACTTTACGAAGAGAGATTAATTTATTATTAAATATGTTTTCAATTAACAGCAATTAATATGACAGTACAATAAACAATCGATTGATGTTATTATAAACGGTTCATTGAACAACAATGATATTAGTGAAGAATGCAAGTTAAAATGAAACAAAACAGGAAAATAATATTATTCTTTTAGAAACATACTTAAATACAAAGTTACTTATACAACCATCAAGGATGTGGATGAGTACGTGTAGGTGTGAGCACCTTTTCTTTTGCCTTACATCCACACCGACACCCACCCTTTTTTGGAATTCATTTACTCAATAATAATAAATTTGTAATATAAATCGAAAGAATAAATCAAATTAAAAAGATGGCAGCTGTTTATTGTAAGCATTTAACGACTAATAAAGTTTTAATATGTCTTTAACGAATATAAGATCTTTTTTAAAATAATATAAATACGCAATATCTTCTTGTGATACATAACGTATTCTTTTTATTCTACATTTAATTTAGGTATTTATCTTACAAATCTATTTCAATATATTCACATGACATATTTTTATGATTATGTTTATTACCCAAATAAATAAAAGAACAGAAGAGAAATACTTGCAGTTAAATATATATATATAATTTTACTTCCTTCTGTTCTGTTCTGTTCTTTAGTGACATCTAGTGATAATAAATATGCGTTATTTCCCTCGTCAAACTATAGAGCCATAGAACTCACGTTTATGTCCTCTTTTTATTCTGTTCTGTTGCAATCCATCTCGTAGTACTTATAAAAGTTGTTGTTGACGTTCAATTAAAAATAAAATAAAATATTTCTTGTTTTACTATATTTTTCTTTCTTATTTTCATATAGTCTATGACAATTATATCCCTAGCGCTTAGTCAAAAATATGAAACGACGAACGAATTTCGACAGCATAAAAATACGAAAATCTATTCGACGCTCTCGTCTTACTGAGGGTATATATGGAAGGTAATTATAAGTTATTTATCTTTTATTAATACATTAAATTATCATTTTCTATTTTATTTAAAGTGCATTAATGTATCTCAAATTTATTTTTATTTGGGGTATAATAATGGCAGCTGATTATTTACTTGAATTTCGCTTTGAATATCTATGGCCATTTTGGCTTGTTCTACGAAGTATTTATGATTCATTTAAATATCAAGGATTAGTAAGATTGAATTTGTACAAAAAAATCTAAAAATTTTTATTATTTTATTTAGCTTTTCTCATTATTCTTTGTACTTATTGCATTCATAGCCGATCTCATTTGTTATATATTACTACCTGTTCAATGGCTATTTTTTGCTGCAAGTAGCTATGTATGGATACAATATGTTTGGCAAACAGGTTAATTATAGAAATGAAAGAATATCAGAAGATTAATTTTTATTTCTTTTTATAGAACGTGGTATCTGTTTGGGTACAGTTGTTCTGTGGGTGCTGTTTGTATGGCTTGAAGCATCAGTACGATTACGTGAAATTAAAACTATTGATCTTTGTCGACCATTTGCCGCTCATTGGTAAAATTGATTGATTGAATTATGTTTAAAAAAAATGATTTTATTGTTATCTTTTAGTATCGGTTATCCAATGGTAACGTTAGGATTTGGTTTTAAAACGTATCTTGCTTATAAATGGAGATTGGTAAGAAGAATTTTACTGTATAGAAATTATATTATTTTTCTCTCCATATAAATAGAGAAAACAACGTGATGTAAGGAAAATAAATGAGTCATATATCCAATTAATAAATCAAGCATTACCAATTGAAGTTCAACAAGAAGCGGAAAAAGAACGATTAAGTCGAGAGAAGGGTTTGTTATTTATTTTTAATTGTTTTCTTTGTTAATAAAATGTATTTTTGCAATTAGGTACATTTACAGAATCTTATGATGAATGTACGAATCAATCAAATATTGATGGAAATTATTCGCCATCTTCTCCGAGTTCATCAATAAATAATTCAAATCTTCTATCTTCAGTACTTATTAATTCTCAAACACAATTAAATAATCATTCAACATCATTACCTTGTACAGTATCAAAACGTCCACAAAAATTAAACAATAATGATGATTTATCATCGACAAATTCACTTGTACAAACAACAACAACAACAACAACAACACGTAATAATAAAATTTCCAATGGAAATAATAACGATGACGAATCATTATCAACATATAAACAACAGAAAAAACAGTTAGTCAAATCTTCAAATACACAAAATACACAAGGTCGAAGACAACAGAAAAAACAAGAAACAAGAGAACAAATACGTGCTACATCAAGAGATTCATCATCATCATATAATAATGGTTTTGGAACGACTACATCGATTGAAAATTCAGATATTGAAAAAAAGTAAAGTTCTTAGAAGATTTTATTTCTTGTGATATACTACAAAAGAAGTTTAGCATTTAATATCTAGAATAGGAAATATAAATGATGATTATTCACTTCGATGTATGACATTTCGTTCCATTATTAGACGATCTCATTTACATTCCATTCCATATGTCGACAAAGACCAATTTTTATAGTTATTCATCGATAGATATTGACTAAGAAAAAGTTAGCCCGCAGCTGTGGAATGTTTACTAACGAGTTACACAAGACTTGTCGCCATTGAATAATTATGTTCAGAGATAGTATCGTACAATTCTCCTTTTTTTATCAGACGTTTAAATGAAAATATATCAATTCTAATTCTGGATATCTATGAAATTATTCTTTAAGTAACACGAATAATTTCTACATTTAGAACATTCTTTTATATTAATGAGATAGAACATATTCAAAGATATTCTTGCTATAACAATCAGTCATAACTATGTCAACACTGATAACATTAGATAAACCATCACAAATTGATTAGTAATCAATTAGAACGATATCTATTAAGAGAGCTATTTTGCTATTCGAAAATAGTTTATATAAATATTATTATTTATTTTAGTCTTCAAATCAGTAAATTAGAAGGTGATATTCAACGATTGAATCAGTCAATTGAAAAACAAAAAAATTCCGAATTACAATTACGTACTCAATTAACAGATTTGAAAAGTGTTCGAAAAGATCTTGATGATTTACGTGCAGAAAATACCACATTACAATCAAAGTAAATTTGCATAGAATTGATTTCTTAATATTTTTGTTGTTGTAATCCTAGATATGAATCAGTTAATACTCAACGAAACCGTGATAAACAACGTGTAATTGAACTTGAAAAGACTATTAACGAAGAAAAACAAAATCGACAACGATTAGAATCACAAATAAAAACTGAAAAAACTTTAACGAAAAAACTTCAAGATGATTTAACTAAATTAAGTTTAATACCACCAAGGTTCATTTTTTTTACTTTCATTTGAAATTTTATATTTTGTATTTGTTATTTAGAAGTGAATGTACAGAACAATGTATGAAACGAAGACGTGATCAAGAGAATGAAACAAGAGAAATGCGAAAATTACTCAATGATAAAGATGAACGTATCAAGTTACTTGATAATGAAATTAAGGTAAAAAAAAATCAATAGACATTTTCTCATTCAAGGAAAAAATATTTTCTTGTAATTGTCCGTGGAAAGTCAATCGTATATAATATAAGAAGATGGATGACTGTTCTATGTAAACAGTAGAGTTATAATATCTATTGCGAGTAACAAGCAGAATGATAATATTAGTAGAAAGAATTTTAATGATACTTCTTGTATTAGAGACGAAGTAAATCTATGAGTGATTTATAGGAATTTTTACCAATTAAGGTGATAGATATAATATAAAATATTTTTGTTTCTTAATTTTTAGACTCTACTAAAATATCGTGAATCTCAAGCAGATACAGAAGTACTCTATCAACATTATTCCCAATTAAAAGAACGTAATGCTCATTTACAAGATAGTCTTAGTGCTGAAACACGAATAAAACTTGATTTATTTTCTGCACTTGGTGAAGTTAAACGACAACTTGAAATAGCTAATGGTTTGTAACAATTGAAATTTTTTTTCAAGAAGAAAAATATTTTTATATCTTAAATTAGGTGCTATTCGAGAAAAAGAACGTGAACTAATTGCTGCACTTCATTCCCAACATCAGGTTAATACTTGTTTATTTAATGGTCATCGTCAATCATCTGGACATTCATCACCAACAAATCAATTAATCGATACAAATAATAATCCAACAACAAGTCCATCATCTGTTTTCTATTCACCACCAACAACTATAACACCACCACCATTACAAAATGCTACATCCAATCTCGATCCAAATGCTCAAGATTTTTGTTTATCAACACTTTCGACAAATAATATATAAAAATGAGAGATTTAATATGAAAAAACAATGACAACATCCATCTTTATTTTTAGATTATCATATCATATATAGAGTTCTCTTTCTCTTTCTTTTTTCGATCGATGGTTTTTCCTTATTCGTAAACATATGTATGTGTGTATGTATTTTGTTTGTTTTGTGTATACATTGTTTTCTTTTTTTTTTTCTTCTTTCCCTGCTATTTCTTTATATTATTTAATGAAGATTCAAATCGTGCTCTTTCATTGCACAATTATTTTGGTCGTTATTTTCACCGTTAAACATCTCATATGCTCGGTTTTCTTTTTCTAAGTGTATTTTTTGTCTCTTCTTTCTCTTCATGTGTATGTGAGTGTGTGAAACATCATCATGATTGTTGTCGTCTGTTTTGTTTGCATATAAAGGAAAGATTAAAAAAACAAAAAAGAAATACAAAATAATTGACCATATTTTTGGTAGATTATTATTAATTGAATTTGTTTTGTTTTATTTATACGACAAAAAAAAAGAACATACAATACTAAAAACTTCTATATAAAAATAAGAGATTTCTTATAATTATTTTAGATTTTTAGAAGAAGAAAAAAGACAATGGTTAGTCGTAAAATAAAATTCTTAATACCGAAAGATCGTGCTGAATTAGTACCAATATTTTTAACATTATTTCTTATATGTCTTTATGCTACATTTGAATTAAGTGTTATTCTACCGACAATTTATCATAATGTATTTACTTATAAAGAAATTTTTCATCTTCTATTTGGTTGTTATATAATTTTTAATTTAATTGGTAATTTATATATATGTATGATTACTGATACGTCTGTTGATACAATAATTTGTCCAGTTCAATTACCATCAGCAACAATAATAGGAAAAACTCAACCGGATCATCTATATTATTATTGTAATTGGCATTATTGTCATCAATGTGAAGTTAATGTTCCACCACGATCTCAACATTGTTTTATATGTAGAAAATGTATTTTAAAACATGATCATCATTGTACTTTTCTTGGACGATGTATTGGTTATAGAAATATTCGTTATTATATGTGTTTTCTTGCTTGGGTTTGGGTAAGAAAGATAATTTTGTTTTAAAAATAAAAAAAACGAATCTTGATTTTTTTTCTTCTTATAGATTGGTTTAGTTTATTGTAATATTCTTCATATGGATTATACCTATGAACTTGTTGGAACACTTTCATGGCGTGTTATGATAGGTAAGTTACGTGAAAATAGGGTGTGGGTGTGGCTATTTTATTTTATCAACCCTAACACCCACATCCACCCTCAAAATTATAATCGTTTCACTTAGATTGAACTTCTTTTCAATAATACTTATATGTTATATTTATATTTCAGCTTGTCTATTTCCACTCGGTGCTTGGTTATTTGGTCTTATCAATCATTTTTCTCTATTTCTTTCAACCATTTGTTCAACATCTATTATACTAAATCTTTATGTTTTGTTTTTAATACTTCAACAATTATTTCTTATTATAAACAGTCAAACATGGCATGAATATAAAAAAAATATTCATATTTATAATCTTGGAAAAGACTTTCAATCAAAATTACAAGGTGTTTTTGGTAGAAAATGGTATTTAATATTATTCTCTCCTCTTATAAAATCATCACCAATGGGTGATGGTATGGTCTTTGATACAAATATGATCGAAACACGTGATATACAACATACTGATACAAAACGCATTTAAATTTGAGATAAAATAAAATAAAAATTGTTTGTTTGTTTTCGTTTTGTGATACTATATTAATAGCATGCTTACATTAAAAGTCAAAATAACTATGCCTTGTTTTGTTTTAAATTTCAGATGTCTCTTCCAGGCTCACAACGTGTTACCGGTACTGATGGCAGTGATTTTCAACATCGTGAAACAATAGCTAGTCATTATCGTGTCAGTACAGAAACGAAACCACGTCTACGAATCTTAATTTATCTTCATTTTATTCTTGCTTGCCTTGTTATTTTTCAAATCGTAACCTATCATATACCACTGGTAACAACAGTTAATATTCCACGACCACATTTATGGCAATATATATGGCTTATAACTCTTATACCATCCATATGTGGTCTTTTATCAATGAATAAAAATCATATTTTTCTTATGAAAGTATTTTTTCGTGGTACAGTTTTATTTGGTTTAGGTACAATAATGACAACGATTATACTTAATTTAAGTGATTTATTTACATTTAAAAAATTAAAATCGAAAAATAAATTAGATGAAGTTGAACCACAAACATTTCTTGGCTTTCCATTGATAGTACTTTGGTATATGTTTTTAATTATAGTCGTGCAAATACATGCATTCAGTTTATATATGGCAAATATTTTATTACATAGTTGGCAACAATATAAACCAACGAAACGAAATTGATTTTCATTGCTTATGGCATAAGAAAAAAATCCTTTGTGTGTGATTCTCATTTTTTTGTGCAATCCTATCCTTTCTACCGATTTAATATCAAACAAGAAATAAAAACAAAGGAAAACAAAAATTCTAAGTCTTTTTTTCAAAATAGAATATCGAACATTGAATAAATCTTCATTCGATTTGATATAGAATGTAAAATTTCTATTATCGTACAATATATGACAAACGTGTGATAAAAAGAATAATCCAAGATGCCCACGTATAGAACATTTCCTTTATATTGATGTAATCCGCAAAGGACTATTTATGACATATGATTGCATAAATGACAGAGTATCTCATAAAATGATGACAGCTTATCTTAACTAAAGTTCGTATATCCGATAACATAATTGATTGTTTGTAATTCTAATCAGAAAATATCATTTGATTGTTATATATATATATATATATAGAAAGAATTGCTTAAATTATCATCGCATGAGAACAAAGTAAAGTTATAGATTAATGTGCACAAAAGGTTTATTAAAGAAGAAGAAGAAGACGAGTACATATAATTAGCACCAAGAAAAAAATGAAATCAGCTTATAAAAGACAAGAAAAGAAAACGCATATGTATGTCTATACTGTTGAATTTTTCTATGTATTTAAAAGCATTTACGATGGACAATTGATGGACCAGCTTCATCATATTCTTGTTTTGAAATCCACATTTGTTGAAAGGTTGAAAGTGAAGCTAAAATTGAACCACCAATCCAGACTGAATATTTACGTTCAGGTGGAGCAATAATTTTAATTTTCATTGTTGATGGAGCTAAAGCTGTAATTTCCTTTTGCATACGATCGGCAATACCAGGATACATTGAAGTACCTACAGATAAAATAAAATAAAATAATCTATATAAGAAAACAATATTTAAATTTTACCTCCTGATAAGACAGTATTAGCATATAAATCTTTACGGATATCAATGTCACATTTCATGATTGAATTAAATGTTGTTTCGTGAATACCAGCAACTTCCATACCCTTTGAAAAAATATTAATTAGAATTAATTATAAATAGGAAGAAAAAAATAAATATACCAAGAATGAAGGTTGAAAGAGTGATTCTGGACAACGGAAACGTTCATTACCAATGGTAATAACTTGACCATCAGGTAATTCATAACTCTTTTCGAGTGATGATGTTGATGCAGCTGTTGCCATTTCTTGTTCAAAATCAAGTGCAACATAACATAATTTTTCCTTGATATCACGAACAATTTCACGTTCAGCAGTTGTTACAAATGAATAACCACGTTCAGTAAGAATTTTCATTAAATAATCTGTTAAATCTCGACCAGCTAAATCAAGACGAAGAATAGCATGTGGTAATGCATAACCTTCATAGATGGGTACATCATGTGTAACACCATCGCCTGAATCAAGTACAATACCAGTGGTACGACCACTAGCATAGAGTGAAAGTACAGCTTGAATAGCAACATACATAGCTATAAGAAAACAAAACAAAAAATGAAATTTGATAAGATTTTTTAATAAATGAAAAAGTAATTTACCAGGTGAATTAAATGTTTCAAACATGATTTGTGTCATTTTTTCACGATTGGCCTTTGGATTAAGTGGGGCTTCGGTTAAGAGTACTGGATGTTCTTCAGGTGCAACACGAAGTTCGTTGTAGAAAGTATGATGCCAGATTTTTTCAATATCATCCCAGTTAGTAATGATACCATGTTCAATTGGATATTTAAGTGTTAAAATACCACGTTTTGATTGAGCTTCATCACCAACATAGGAATCTTTTTGACCCATACCAACCATAACAGCTTGATGACGAGGTCGACCAACAACCGATGGAAATACTGATCGAGGGGCATCATCACCAGCAAAGCCAGCTTTACACATACCTGAACCATTATCAATAACAATAGCAGCAACGTCTTCGTCACACATTTTTTATTCTATACTTAGTATAAGTAATATATAATGTTGTTATAAATATTGAAGATACACAAGGCAACTTTATTATGGCAAAGATAGAGAGTTATATAGTAGTTTCTATTTTTCTCTTTTCTCTCTTCTTTTCTCATATATCATATAAGGATATATATGGTAATATCTGTGGTTTTCTTGTACGAGAAAAGACAAACGAGTATTTCCTTATTTGGTAATATGCGATGTCGATGCATAAAACGAGAATGATCTACAATTGTATATATATATCAACATATGTGTATACGATTGGATGCAATGAATTGTACAAATGTGTAGCGCTGTTCGCCTACATATGCAATTATTAGCCTGGTGTTCTTCTTTTTCCTATTCTTAATATATATGTGTGTAGCGTTAAGACGACAAATAAATGTAGAAGTAAGAAATGATGCTAGAAGCAATCGATGAAAGAAGAAGAAAAGAAGAAAGTTGTATATGTCTACATATATATATATATTGCACAAGAAAAGTCATAACAATATTACTAAATTTGTTTAGAATAATCATATAGAAACAACATTTCATGATTGAGCCATTAATTCTACAAACTTCAATAGACATGATATATTCTAAATTTGTATATCTGAATTATTAACTCTATTCTAGTTATCTATTCCAAAGAATTAATTAAAAATACACTGTTATTTCCCACTGATTTTTTAAACGATAGTTTAGATATATTTCTATATGTTATGGGTGTGGGTAGAATACAAGTAAAAACGCCGACAACTGGACTGCCACCCTCAGTTGTAATACTTCTCATTGAGTTAGATTTAATCTATTTAGAATTGATAATTTCATGTATATTAAATCTGGTTCATTTTGTTTATTTTAAATAACAACAAAAAAAAAAAGTTCATATAAAATAAAGTAACAGCAAAAAAAAAATAGTCGGTTCAGATTTTATATCTGATGTAATTGTAATAATAAACGACGAAGATGAAAACATAATTGTTTTTGTTCTTGTTCGTAACCATATTTCGATATAATTAATGTTTGTTCACGACCTGTACATGGATCATGTTTATATTCAATCGATAACATTGGAAATTTACTCAATGTATGACGAAGACAATGATCAACAGTAAGACTTAATGATAAATCATATATTAATGTTGAATTTTTTGGATCAATTAAAAAAACTTGTAATCGAGCACATGATGTACATGGACATATTAACAATGCTTCATTCATTGATATTATATTTAATGGTGATGAAGATGATAATGTTGATATACAATAATAATTAAGAGTATTTAAACAATATTCATAAATAAGAATAAATGCAGGTGATAAAGAAATTTTTGAATGAATACGTTTTTCTTTGTCTTTTATATCACGATAAATATTTATTAACATTGGTATTAAATACATTTTAAAAGATTTATCAAGAATTTTATTTGCTAATGATGTTTTTCTTACACGTTTTATAATATTATATGCAAGAGTTAATAATGCATCCATTGAATATGACCCATCAACAATTAATAAATGTAAAATTGAACAACATGTTGATAATAAAATATGTCTTGGTAATCCACGTCGTTTCAATATATAACGAAGTAAAGTATTAATTAATAAAGTTCGTAATGTTTTATGAGAAAATTGTAATAAAAATTGAACAATTTCATTCAGTTTTGTTGGCATTGATGTACTAATTGATTTCCGAAATAAATCTAAAAATTCCATTGAAAACAGTGGCCATGAATGAAAACATTCTACTAAACGATTTAACCAATAATGAAGTATTTTATTAGAAAATAATTCATCTTTAAATTGCTTATGTTGAAAAAGAGTTTTCAATAATTGAATTAATTTTTTTGCTAAACCAATACGATTATAAAGTTGAATAAAATAACGTATAAGTTGATCAAATGATAGTATTGATAAAGTTTTATTACGAAGAATACATTCCAATAAATTTAGACATAAAATATTTAATGAATTTGTTGGTAATGAAAGCATATAAGATAAATGATGACATGCAAATGAATAATCATCGAGTAAAAGGTCCCATTGATATTCATAAGGTATTATAACAAGAACATGAAATTTAGAATAATTACGATATACTACATTACCTAAAATAAAGAAAAATAATATTACAAACTGAAATTTTCGCAACATTCAAATCACAAGTAGATTTATCTTTACATAAAACATGAGTTCCGTCTTTCCTTTTATTATTGATGCATTCTATCCTAGAGCTAGACATGTGCAGGGTAAGCGTTTTCATTACCCTGCACATCTCTATTCTATGCCATAGACTAAAGTTTTAGTTTGATGATTATAGTCCTAGAATAGAATCTTTTATTGAATACTGACTAATATGCAGAGTTGAAATTGAAAAAAAGATTTCTTTTTCTTTTCAAAATAAATTACCATTAGAAAGAGTTTGTTGACGACCACCCGATTGTTCATATGCATCAATATACATATGAAGTTCGCCAAGAACTTCATTAGGTATAACTGTACGTTCATGTTGAATGTTTAAATCAAGAATGAAATCATTCGTAGTATTTAATAATTTAAGATTATTAATAAGTAATCTTGAATCGGTTGTATTACCAAATGGTTCATCTTGCTGTAATAAAGCTGAATATATAAGAAATGATGATGACGATGATAATTGTCTTAATGTTGTTGTAATAAGTTGAAGAATTGTTCGATATTTATCACGAAATAGCATTGAAAAAAAAGGAGTATAATCTAATGAATGTTGAATTGGAATTAATATTTTACTAGGCATTTTATCAAGATTTTTTTCCCAATAAGTAAATATATGATTAAGACGTTGTGTTAAAAATATATTCTGAATATTCATTGAATTATTATTTGATTTTGATAAAAGTGAATAGAATTCATGAGTTGAACTAGAATATCAAAAATAATAAATAAATCAATAAAAAGAAAAGTAGATTTACCTGGTTTTTGAAACAAGATGATAAACAAGTAGAAGTTTAAAACCTTTTCCAATTGGTTCAATTTCATGTTGGCAATCAGATGGTACGATAAGAATAAAAGGTTTTGAATTATCTGATTCATGTTGATTGAAAGTATGTCGATGAACATCATCACTATCATCATTATCATCAATAAATCGATAATTACCACCTGTATAATATGAAGGTAAAAAAACAAGTACAGTAGCAAGATAAATAAAGAGTTTTTCATCAAAATTATAAACTTTTGTTTGTGTACATGGACCAAACATAATAAGTTTATCGAGATTTAAATAAAATTCTGTATTTAAATCTGATGTATTCAAATGAAGTTGTTCAAATGTTTGAGATTGAATAGCAGCTGTAAATGAAAGCGGAAAATCAATTGCACTATGATCAATTTCCCATGCTGAATTTGTAACCTATAAAATAAGAAAATATTTTTAAAAACTTCAATTATTTATAGTTTCTTAACTTTTGTTCCACAAAAATCATATGTATTTATAAGAGATAATGGTATACCATGTTCACAAATAATTCGAGAACATAATGCATTTGATAATGGAAATGTATAAGGTGTACCACCAAGTTTCTTTACTCGAATTTTACATGGATTATCGTATGAAAGTAATCTTGTGCCATCATCTAATTTATTTTCATGTATATCATCTAATACTTCTTGAAATGCATATCGCCAATTATTTTCATTTATCTCGTCACCTATAATCAAAAAAAAATAAAGTAAATTGATTAAGATAATATATCTATGATTAACCTAATAATTGAATATCTTCATCATCATAAATCAAAGTATCTGTATTTGATACTATGTCTTCGTTATCATTAATATCCATGGCAATGGCCGTTGTAGTAGCCATAATAAGTATGGAAATATTGATCTTTTTCGATAGATAAATGAATTCGTAAGAGGAACGAAAAAAAATGTTTCGTAGAATTATCTCGAACGCCAATCAAATCGAACGACTTACTTATCGACTTACGAGAATAGCGACCTCTAATTCGAATAATAGAGTATAGAAACGAACTATTCAACTGATTAAATATAAGTCTAATAACGTATTTCTGTTTCAACTTAAAGAATCAATGTTTGAAATCATTGTTTTGCTTTTAAACATCTTACTTTCAAAATATTCTCGTAGAAGCATATATTTCATAATGAAAAAGATTTACTAATCTTGGACTATGTTCATTGGCTCTTCATTTGATTATAGCTTTAAAACATATTTGATCAATATATAGTATAATAATTATTCCACGTGAATATTATCTGAATGGTACATAACATATTGCCGAAATCTTTCTTTCACTTATATATTTTGTGTTTTTATAAAGTTTATACGATTACACGACAAAGAGCACACACAAAAAAATTAGAGTATTAAGACACTCATACAACGAAAAAAAAACAAGAGATTTTAGATGAGATTTGCACAATATTGAAGAGTACCACAACATGAATAATATAGTATATTGATTTGTTCTAAATTTTAGACTATTGCAGATTACATTTCATTCGGCGCATCAAGATCTTCATAACTTCTTAATTGACGATTATTTCTAAAAATGAAAACATAAAACATTTCGATTTTCTTTTAGAAACAAAACAAAAGACGCTTTCAACTTACGGTCCTCGATGAAATGAACCACCAGGAGGACCACCTCCGCCTTGATACATAAATGGTGGTCTTGGGTGACGAGGCTGATGAAATTGATTAGGATAATAACCTGGTGGACCAGGATGATGAGGTGCAGCCACTAAAATAATGATAATAAAAATATATATATATATTAAAAACTATATTAACATACTAGAAGGCCATAAAGGTGGTCGAGAGAGTAATGGTTGAGCTGCCATCGGTGTTGGTAATGGTAAACCTGATGGATGAGGACCAACACCACCACCACCACCACCAGTTGGCGGTGCTCCAGGTCGATTTGATGGATGTTCTGGTAGTTGTGGTCGTTTTGGATCATACAAATAATTATTAAAATAAGTGACCTAAACATAAGAATTTTTATTTGTAAAATAAGAAAATTAAAATTTTATATAAATTATCTTACTTCTTTTTTCGCTTCATCAATTTTATCTTGATGTTTATTTAAAATATGTTTACGAACAAATTCTGGACCTTTAAATTTTTTTCCACTTAATGGACATGACCATTTATCTTTTCCAACTTCTTGACAATTCGAAACAATAAATTTTTCTACTTCATCTTGTTCATTTTTAACACCTAATTTCATGGCTTCATCATCATCTAATTTTTCATGACAATCAATAAATGGTTTTAAACGTGTTTCAAATTGTTGCATAAAATTTGTTAATTCAGTTTGTGTTATTGAAGTCAATGGAGCACCACGAACATGGATAACACCACAACGATTTGGCATTGAATCTTCTTGGGCATATTCAGTACCATTATAATAATCAACTGAATGAACAACACGTAAATATAATATTAAACGATCGAGTACCTTAAACAAAATATTCAAATGTACAAAAAATCAAAACTCGCGGGCAACTATCCTAGACCCATTCTATTTACTTTAGTTAATTCTTTATCAATTTCAAATGTATTTGATTCATTTTCATTATTTGTTGATGTATCGCCCAGTAATTCTTCTTCTTCCGCATCAGCTTCTTCAACAAGATATTCAGTGATATTCTTTAATAATGGATTATAACTAATAAAACCAATCGGATTTTTATTTTTCGTTGGTGATACATTCATTGTTGAAGATGATATTTCTGAATCATCTGTTGTTGATGGAACATTTGTTATTGTTGTCTTTTTTTGTTCGTTATCATTATCAATTGGTTCCCAAATATTCCATCGTTCATCTAATTGTTTAATAATTTTTGTTATGAGTCGAAGATCATTACGTACAATAGTTTTATGTTGTCCAATACCATTTATTGTACGAATACGATTTTTAAGTTCACGATTAATAATAGCACCCATATCAACCTCATGTAACTAAATAAATAATTAATAATGAAACATATAAATGAGAATGATAATAAAAACAAACCTTTGTTGAATTTAATTCATAACAAATATTACGAATTTGAACTGAATGATCAAATGTAACCCAACCACGACGAGAAAATTTTCGTTCGGGTGCTGGATCAGTGATACAAACACGACGAAAACCAGCATACTGTTTACAAACCTGTTATAAAAATGAAAAAAAAA